GTTATACTTGGCTAACACCATATACATATAATTCGTATCAAATTTAGCCCAACAATGTTAGATCTTCAAATGTGGGTTAGCAAATTTTTGTTCTTCCCTAAGCGGGATTCGAACCCTTGCGTCTGTGACACCGTGTCAACGCCATCTGCACCGTGCCAAGCGCCCTACAACATATAATAACCAATAATTACATTACATGCAAGTTTCATTATAATACGTTATTTTGATTGGCTAACAGCAATCTCGCGTCATTCTGAAATTAACCTTCATTTCAAAATGAAATGTAACAATCATGATGGCACGAGCTTCCACAATAAAGTACACAGGTAAATAAAAGAAAAACTTGATAGAAATCGTGTTTTCATGATCCTAGCAAAAATATGTAATAATAAGTATTGAATGCTTCTTTTAGTAATTTTAAAGGGTTGTAAAAGCGTTGACCGTGCACACATTTTTAGAATGAAGCGCTTCCGCGCTTCATACAAAATGTACTTCGGTCAACGCTTTTACACCCCAATAAATTTACAAAAAGAAGCACTCAATTCTTAAGTGAACAAGAAGTCGATTACAAAATGCAGTCACTTGTCTTTCATGTATTGAAAAAAAATGACCTAACCTGACATAGAACAAAGTTGACAATGCTTATCTACAGATGTCAAAATAAAAGCGTCCTAGTTTGATAGGCCGATGAATAAGTAGGACAATGTGCCTAATTGGTGTATTTAATGTCGTTGACATTAGTTGCGTCTGATTTATGTTACTACTTTTTGAAATATTTAGAATTAATACAAACAAACAAAAAAACGGTTAATGTAGATTCTACATAATAACCTATTAACCAAATAGTTAGCTTAAACTTTTCGCTTTCAATTTCCACAGGTCTAAATTCGTGAATTGTTCGAACCTTCATGAATTTTAAAATTAAAGAATATAAATAATACGCTTTAAAGATTTTATAAAATAAATAAAGGCAACAGTAGTATACCGCTGTTCGAAACTCATAAATCGATAAAGATAAAAACAAATCCGGGTTACAAACTAAAACTAAGGGAAACCATCAAATATAAGAGGAGAACAACGACACAACAAAAACACAACATTAAAAATGTAACACACACAGAAACGAACTATAATATAACAACGGCCATTTTCCTGACTTGGTACAGGTCATTTAAAGAAAAAAATGGTGGGTTGAACCTGGTTTTGTGGCATGCCAAACCTCCCGCTTTTATGGCAATGTCAAACACAACACCAAAACGACAACATCATATGACAGGACCACAATACAAATAAATGGGAGAACATATAGGACAAAGAAACACACGAATAATAGCTATCAGAAGGTACTAGGCTTAAAATTCAATACACCAGACGTGCGTCTCGTCCACACAAGACCAACCAGTGACGCTCAGATGAAAAAAGTTTGAAAGCCAAAACAAGTACAAAGCTGAAGAGCACCGAGGACCAAAACTTCAAAAAATTTGCGCCTAACACGGCCAGGGTTTTCTGCCTGGGACAAGAACATCCTTATTATTTAGAATAATTTATAATTTTGCAAAGAGTAAATTTAATAAAATGACTATATAATAGATATACATGATAAAACCGAAGTGGGGACTAATTACAGAATAAAAACGGATACATTACACAAAACAACTTAATCCAACATATAAAAATACACAGCCGAGTTAGCAGTTAATACCGTTTTTCCATATTATCAAAATATTGTTTTTTTATCGCTTAAAATTGTTGTTTACAGTTTTGATGCACAATCCAAAATTGTTAATCGAATATCCTTAACTTACATAAAATTATCTGTATCTGAAAAACGAAACCGATTGTACGTCTTACTGTTTAAAAAATACCTGACTTATCTGGAATCATTGGACTTACCAGATTATTGACGTCGCACGAATTTCTTGACGCTAGATTTGAAACCCGTACATGGTAATTTTGTTTAGAAAATCAACTTTCAGTCCTTACAGCAACGGAACAGTCAGACGGTATTTGTAATTGACCACCTATGACCAGGTCAACCTGAAATTACAACGTCACACCAACGCGAGAGAGATTTACGACTAAACGCCAACTGCTAACCAAGTCATCGGGTGTTATGGGAGACAGATTCACGTCAAAATAGTTTCACTTTTTTTTTTAAATTCCACAGAATCCCCTGCAGAAATTAATTTCAAGCTTTACAGTTTAAACCGCATAATGCAAAAAAAAAAACAGACTGCAGTGTGAAAATCCGAGTCTAAGCGCATACCATATGATTTGAACATTAAACGTGACGTAATCAATTCAACTTACAAACTGCTAACTTTATTTTAATAGACGATTAAGTAATGAATGACATGTATATTCATATATGTATTTTACAAGAGTTGTAGTTTTGAAAATGAAAAAAAAAATCTAGTGATGCGTTTTTAAAGTGCGTCAGTTAATATTTGATTCACTCAGATTTGATATATATATGCAATCCTGCATTGTGAATTATTTTTTTTGGCAATTTCAGCAATAATCTTTATAGAATATTACAGTAAAGTACGTGTTTAATTTTACAATTCTGATAACATCATAGTTTATATACAATTTTTATTTATCAGTTATATATTATGAAGTGAGTGCAAAACCATGATATAGTAGATTTCAGTTTTATCATCTCTTTAGTAAGGCAGCTTCATTAAGACTACATACAACATTTTAATTCGTCAACTAGAGCAATCCAAATTCAATTAATTAGAAAGGAAAAACATATGTCAAAAGTGGAAGCATGCAACGTTCATGGGCAAATCACTGAACTAATTAAGGGCTCCGTTAGTGTATTTGTTTTTAGTTTTTTGTTTTGTACTTAAATCAGGCCATTGCTTTTCTCGTTTGAATTATTGTACATTTTGCCATGTCTGGGCCTTTTATAGCTTGCTTGCGGTATGGGTTTTGCTCATTGATGAAGGCCCTACGGTGACCTATAGTTGCTTAAATCCGCTTCGTTTGGACTCTGCCGGATCCTATTCTGATTTGCAATCATATCTCATCTCCTTATTTTATATTCAGTAATGTTAAAGAAAAAAAACTTAGTTCACTCCCTGATATTGGTGAAGTTCCTATTGCTTAATCCTTAATTCTATTTATAATGTTTTATGGACGTGTTGTTCTTTTGATTCTTTTTTTTTTTGCCATGGTGTTGTATGTCATTTTTTTCAATGGCTTTCATTTACTCTCTTGGTAATTTCTCCCTTTTTTTAAGTAAGCGACAAAGACTGTTGATTATCTCTATTAAGAAGTTTTCAATAGAATTAATATGATATGTAGGTTTTGATAATAGAAAGCCGTAGAACACATTCAAAACTACAAATGCGTACTGGAAAAAAATTACCCTCGATTGTTATTGCAATTTTGACAAACCATTCTTAGGGCAGTACACAATCAATTGCAAAGAATAAAAAAAAAGGGATCCTCAAGATTTCTTGTGCAAAAAGCAGACACATTTTAATGCACGATGTCCCATTTCCATATCAAGCGCTATATAGCTTCACAGTATACTAGTATTCTTAATTAACGCAACATCGACATACAACGTAGACGTGCTCCAACGAAAATATTCGACATCGAAATCTTTTGGTTGCGGTTTAGGTTTTCTTAAACAACGCGTTTTGTTTAAAAATCCCGTTTTTTGTAGGTTGGGCAGTATTTCTAAATTTGAATATTTAGTGTTCTTTTCGGAGGTAAAATGGCGTATATCAGTAGTATCTTATATTTTCTAATCTTTGGGTACAATTTTAAGGTCATTGTCCCCTTCATACATGTAATTATTCAAAATTTTAACTAGCACTAGACTAACTTATTACACATGATCTTACATCATATTTAAAATGCCAATATTTTGGCATTGTACAAGGTCATGCTTTTGGGGGATTTCGAATGACGTCTTCACACTAAATTCATTGAAGGTGTGTTCGTAGACATTTGATTCTGGGAAAATATGGTTTGTCTATTAGTTGAAATTGTGCTATGTACTGGTTTTCAGTAACTGCGAGTACTCTTAAATCGGTTCTTTGTGTCTTTTGTCTTTTTGTTCGTTGTTTTTGTGCATAACAATAATCTGAAGGGTCTATCCATTTCCAACTGATTTTTAAAGTTTGTTCTTATGCAGTTTCCTTACACCATTGTCACAGATTTGTCTCCGGGGAAGGTGTATTATCGCTCATTAACATGTTTAATCTCGCCGCATTCTTTATGTGCCTTTCCCAAAGCTTGAAAACTGTAATTCATTGGTCGTCGTTGGATACTGTCTGTCGTAATTGTTTTTTAATTCTTGTATTATTTAGGCCGTTATTTTTTGGTTTTTTTTTTGGGGGGGGGGGGGGTGATTTGTTTCACATTTTGTTATTACGGGGCCTTTAGAGCTTACTATATGATATAAGTGTTGCTCATTGTTGAAGGCCATACGTTGACTTGTTCACATCCTTGTTCTTGGTTTGTGCTAGAACGTCTGCATTCATACAATATCCTTTGTTTATAATATACAACAACATTACCATGCTGGTAGACTACATCTTCACATATATCTGTATCTAGAAGAGGAGTTAGGGGGGCAGGGTGTCCTTAGTGGAGCTACATTCATGGTTAATGCAGACTTTTTACCTGTTCGAATCCAAATGTTTATAGAAATTTTTACAAAAAATCTGTGTTAAGTAATAAATGTGTGTTAATTATATTTTTAAAACAATGATATTATCTGAATTTTGGAAAATTTTCAGAATTATGTTGCCAAAGAGAAGATGTTTGCTTTTTAAAAGATAAAATTTGATTTTTTTCACTGATCGAATGATTTAAAATTTATTACGTGATCACCATCGGATGATTTTTTATAGAACAGGTGCACACACATTTTTTAAATTACATAACTAGTATGTATAGTGATTGGCTGGTCAATAATAGTTTAACAAATTTATAAATACTGTTTCGAGGGGATTTACCATATTTAGTAAGCATTTTAAACCACATGCAATCATGATTGTGAAACTTCTGTTTTATTTTTTTACGTTTTATATCTATTTCGTGGCTACATCGAGTTTGAGGCATGCAGAAAATATAAAGTTATTGAGTTCTACTTTATCAATACAAAAAGAATATATTCTTGACATTAAGGACCGATCTAGGAAAGAGAAAAAACTGTATTTTACAAATTATTTGCGAAATCTTTTTAAGGAGATATCATTGTACGATGAAGATAAATCACTGTTGACAGACGATAGAACTTCAGAGGATGTTGTAACGAGGCTGGCCAGTGTTCACATTTTATATAGAAATATTCGTAAGTACAAAACGGAAGATTTTATTATCAAGAACTTGTGATTTGATCTTACAATTTTTTGTGTTATAAGACAAAATTTGTCTGTAATTCACTTCTGTCAAGTTTTAAAGTTCTGCAATATAGTATATTGGGAGATGTGACTGCAGGAGTTCAAAAGTTATCATCACTGTTTTATTTTTTCATCAGTTTCCTTAAAGAAATAAGAAAATTGTTTTTAGTAAACTATTTAAATCGCTACAACGTTATTGTATAACATAAAAATGAAAACTGTCATTAATATTTCAGATAAACAAAACAAATATGTGTTTGATATTTCTGGTCTTCCTAGAGATCTATTTGTTTCCCACGCCGAGTTAGTGACTCATTATGGCACAAAATCGACGGAATTACAAGGTGAGTAATTTTATTAGGAAATATCAGAACTGCATATAAGACATTAATTGAACACGTTGGTTATACTTTTCTGTTTGATTAAACTAGTCATAATTTCTATTTTAGGTTTTATAGTTATGAATATTAGAAATATCAATAAAAAAGTCGAATGTTTGTCATAAATAGATTTATAAAGCAAGTGTTTTATATACATTAATGACACAGACTTCAAAAGTATAAAAATTTCAAGAAAAAATTAATGAATCTGTTTACATTTGGGAGGTTAGATTAAAAATGTGCCAACAAACGTTAAGACAGTTGCTAATTTATTTGTTGAGGAACTTTTAAAATTTTTATATTTAAATTATATTTGATCAAATTTAAGAATTGTTTAAAAAATAGAATTCATTTGTTCAACTTTATAAAGTTTCAATTGGTGTAAATCATTAACAGGGAAAAAAGTTTGTGAACGATTTTTATAGGGAAGTTTGACTTGTGATCAACTCTATCAATAGTTCGAAAACAATTTTGTTGATAATCGATCCACATTCTTCTGAAGGCGAGACTTTTAATACTAAGTGAAAAAATTACCAAAGCATCTCCTCGCAGCTCTATTTATTCGTTATCTGTTCTGGATTAAGCGAAAATATCGAATACACCATTTTTTCAAATTATAAAAATAGAATGACTCAAGCTCTCAAAGATGATATGTAAAATATTAAGTCCGATTTTTTTAGAAACATGATAAAGATCTATCTCGTTTCTTTTCTTTTTTGTTGTAATTTTTTTTATTTTAACTCTTGTTCCAGAATAATCCCCAATCCTGTTTGTTCCCGACCGAAATTCACATATAATGGTGCGAAGGACAGGTTAGCAACTGCATAATAATTACAAGTGCTTCTTCTATTATTGCTATTTATAAGTGACAATATTATAGTGCAACTTGTAACTATTATGTAAACCTGTCCTTCGCATTACTGTGGTTATGTAAATTGTGCCAAAAAATAATTACACTCATGTTTTTGTGTCAAATGATGTAAATGACTGTATTTTTAGTTTTCACAAGATACTTGTCATTTACTAGGTACTTCGCGATTGTTTGTAGTTGATCCGGGCAAATTGTTTTCTTTTTTTGTTAATGAAAATTGACCGCCACGAAACTTCACTAATTTGTAGTGACTAAACCGCATTACAAAAAGACAGACTGCTTATCTTTTACGTCATTTTTGCTGTAGATCATATTTTCCGTATTTTAAAATAACGGCCATTGTATTGTCGTAAAAATGCAAGAATTGTTCATTTTGGATGTTATTCATAGTTTGGAAATCTTAAAATATTGAAGACTGTCACATATATATGTAACAACATAATATTTGACTATTCAATATTTCAAGATTTCCAAACTATGAACTACATCAAAAATGAATAATTCTTGCATGATGATGTTTACGACAATACTGCAGATTGAGGATGCATTTGTGTTATGTGGAATATTGTTATTGTATATTTGCTTTTGTAATGTCAATGAAGAAGGAAAAAAAATCAAATTATAATCTATGGTCAAGTCTACCGATGTGGAGGTGTTGCCTTGCATTTGGTGTACTTTTAAGCTGGGACTATTATTGGGTCAATATATTATGTCCCAGTTTTAAGGTATAAATTTTGGTTTATTGCTATATAAATACCATTAACCAGATGTTTATGAGGATTCCATCATTTTCAACATCAATAAATGCAATCTCAATGTATTTCATGTTTTCTCCGCATATTTACAGCGATGCGTATAGGACTATTTTTGATAACAAAACAAACGAAAACCGTGACTAAAAGCATTACTATTACTATTATATTTAATGAATGCTTCTTTTTCCCAGTTTTATAGAGATAAAAGCATTGACCGTGCGCACATTTTAGTACACACATTGTGCTTCGATCTATGCATTTATTCCCCATTAAAATTACAAAAAAAGCGGTCAATTTTTAATCAAAGGTTATTGAAATGCCAGCATATGTTATGTTGCTTTGAATAAACCTTTTTTATCCAGTTACTTTTTCTTTCTTTCTAAAGGAATTTCATTATATATAGTTGATACATCAAGAAATCATCCCTTTAAAAAAGATCGCCTATTTTGATTATTTTTAACTTTTTAAGAAATGTATTAAACGAAGACGTTTAAAATACTTTTAAAAACTCTTACATATAAAATTGACATAGATTATCATCTTTTTAATGTGTATATACTGTTTTGCAGGTATATCTGACAATTATCTCATTAGAGATGTGACAAAAGATTTTAAAGCTCATTACACTTCCGGAACAAAATTATTTGGAGCTGATGTTGATGATATTGCTGAAAACTATACGACTCCACAACTAGTGATTTTTGAAAACGTAAATAACACCCTGTTATCCTCGTTGAGATCACGTAGAAGACGGGATATTAGTTTAGCATTGCAAATGTCTAATATAAAGGATAGTAACATCAACAAAAAACTCTGTTCACTAATACCATGGGAGGTAAATTTCCGAGATATTGGCTGGGGTCGTTGGTTATGGCATCCATCTTCTTATTTAGCGAACGTGTGTTCCGGTAGCTGTGACTATAATGATAATGCAATTTTACATTCTAGTCACGCTTACATAAAAAATCTATTCATAAAAAAGTTTCGGAATAAAGTTCCGAATGATTTTGACTTGTCTACCAATTGTTCTCCTTCTTTATATGCACCACAAACAATTATTTATCTTAGCAAGCATAGAACGATTATGGTAAAGCAGATTTCAAGAATGAAAGTAGCTTCTTGTTCGTGTCTATAAATTGGATTCTGAATGTGTCTACTCGCTGACCTTTGATGAGAAACGAAATCTTTATTATATTATTCCGCATGTTATTTTTTTTTATATTGATGTAATTATATATAAAATCTAATTTATATCACTTATGAACATTTTATTAATTTAAATGCAAATAATATTTAATATAGATTCAAGGTCCGGAATTTCGCCGTTTCAAAATCTGCGAGATTGTAGATAGTGTCATCGGCTTCCTGAAATGAAAATAACGTTACACCATTGGCCAAAACGTTGTCAACCAATTACAATGTTTTAATGTTCACTTTTGAAATTGATACCCATGCAGAATGATTAAGATTCTGAAACCGTGAACTGCAGGTAGATGATACCAGTATAAAAATGAGAAGATATGGTATGATTGTCAATGAGACAACTATCGACCAATCAGATTTAAGCAACTATAGGTCACCGTACGGCCTTCAATAATAAGCAAAAACCATAAAGTATAATAAACTATAAAAGGCTCCGATTTTATAAAATGTATAACAATTCAAACGAGAAAACTAACGGCCTGATTTATGTACAAAACAATAAACGAAACACAAATATAATAGACAGCAACCTACGGCAACCACTGAACGACAGACTCCTGGCTTGAGAGAGACAAATACGGCGTGGTTAAGCAACCATACAGACAGATAAAAATAAATCGTAATCCAGAGGACAGAACATGAACGAGAAAAATTAAAGAAACAAGAGAAGTTTAAAGATTAACCAGAAAAGACGCAAACGATTAGCAATATGGAATTCTTAGGAACGATGGGTGGATAACAAGTTCTCTGGAATGTAGGCATATTATGTTACCCTGCAAACATATCAGTTGTGATAAGGAGAAAACGGGGATTTTTAGGATAGGATCTGTGCAAGGTTCGAGGAAAAAAAGTGTTAACAGTACGCATAATCATAAAAGGAAATGTTAAAAAAGTTCTTCAAACATAGATGTCAAGATTTCATATTCAAAGAAAAAATATGAAAATGGGAAAATTTCAAATTGTTTCGTGATCAGACCTGCAAGTAATTAACACTATGAAATGATCTGGAAACTTGGCCATGCACATGTTTGACCTATGATTGTTACATATTGACGCCTTGTCGTTCAAAAAGTTGAATATTACCATATACGTCTGACACAAATATATATACAAAACGTATATACTAAATATACTCTGAGGAAACAAACACATGTCAATTCAACATGGGAACTACCACCTGCTGTTTAAAACAATAAAGATAATGCGTACTAATGAATGAATACCAGTCCGAAATATCTGACCTGTACGTTTTCTGCGTGTTAGAGTTTATTTTCTAATTCACAGCCTCGGAATTTAAAGGACTATGGGCAATTTCATTGTCGTATTACTAATTGAAAACGTGGTCACGTTATTGATTTATAAATTACCATTGTTTAGGTATTCACAACGTTTTGTTGAACGCTTATCTGCTTACCCTTCCTATGCACCTGAGACCTGCCCCCCCCCCCCCCCCAAGATTTTGGTGGGGTTCGTGTTGCTCAGTTTTAAGTGTTTTGTAAAGTATTTTGTAGCCTCTTTTTTTTTGCATGTCGCTGCCAATTTCTCTTCGATTTTTGAGTTTTTAATATTCCCTTGGTATCTTACGGCTCTTTTTGCTGTAGTTTTCTCCCCGTCAAAGTTATTGATATTTTAAACAGCCATTGCAGAGGTGATGCGATATCATTATTATTTGTTCACATTGTGTCATCACTATCTCTACTGAAAATTATTTGAAAAAGAGAAATGTTTCTTTTGACTTCTTTGAAAAAATAACAAAAGTCTTTCAAAACTATGTTAACTTTATTGACAAATGAATCGAACGGTGTAGTCTGGAATCTTTAGTGAAGAAATAAAACTTGTCTGTGATGTCTCTATGATGTCAAAATCGTGACGATATGCACATGTTTGGCTTAAAATGACCATTTTGTTAAAATTAGATATGAGCCATGGCGTTGCACAAAAAGATCTTTTAGCAATGTATTGTTTGGTAAGTCATTGGTTCCTTTCTAAATATCAATGAAAGGATTTCAAATAAACTCATCATAGATCATCACAAATACAAGGAATAACTTGAATTTTGTACGCCAGACGCGCGTTTCGTCTACTAAAGACTCATCAGTGACGCTCGAATGAAAAAAGTGAAATAGGCCAGATCAAGTACGAAGTTGGAGAGAATCGAGGACTCAAAATTCCGATCATAATTCCTCAAAGTGAGGATGTTTTGGTCGATTTTGAAGTTTTGCATATATTACCGGAAGTTTGACCTTTCCGTCAGTCCGTCAGTCATCTTGTTTTTCAGACGATAAACCAAATTTATAGTATATGTTGGATTGCAAACTTACTTAGATATATGGTAACATATAATAAGAGGAAGATACTTATAGGTTTTGAAGTCAAGACGTCTAGTCGTCAAGTTCACAGTAACTAAAACTGTAAAAACTATTAGATCGGTAATGTGTGTCCTATTTACATCGGATGACCGTGAGGGCATTCCGGTGTGTTGTTGCCACAGACATTTCTACCCACGTGACTTTCGTTTTTGACTGATGACCGAACGCAAAATAACATTCCTTATCGCTTGTTATATATCAATATACCGAAAATTTGTGTTAGCGCAAGCGGAAGAATATCTCAAGAACGTTTTGCGGGAAAATATGAATGCCTACTACAATCTAATCTATTAGAAAATCGAATTATTACAGAAGAGTGCCCACCATGAGCTTGCACTGCACTATTACTAGAATAGTAGAATAGAATGATATACAAATGAATGAAAATTATATATACATGTAACTGTTATATACAAATATTAATATAATCAAGGATTTGTATAGTGAGTATCTCATTTTACAAATCCTTGATATAATATATAACAACAAACCAGAGTATACCGATTTGTATCACTACAATATAATAGTTATTACGGTGAGGTTGAATTCCCTGTCATTTATTCATCATCCACGCACGAACTTGTCTCAGGAAAAAATATATCTATGTACCTTCACCTCACTTTCAGGTATAGAGATGTGATTTTTTTCTGAGACAAGTGCTTGTGACCATCCACAAGAACTTGCGGTCATCCGATGTTCAGTACTTCAGTACTTTGATTGATTTTGTTAGTTGTTTTGTGCTAAAAAAAACGATTTTTTTATTCAAGATCTTTTCAGATTTTTACGGTTGTTTTAATGTTGTGTTGTTACACCACTGTCCAAGGTTAGGGGAGGCTTCATCGTTCATAAACATGTTTAATCCCGCCATATTCTTAACTGTGCCTGTCTCAAGCCATGATTGGTTGTCGTTGGTTGCTGTGTCACGAAACGATTTTTATCGTTTATTGCTGTGAACCTAAACTAGGCCATTAGTTTCCTTTTTTGAATTGTTCGAAATTTTGTGATCTCTTGGCCCTTTACAGTTTACGTGATGGTATTGGTTTTACTACTTGTCAGTGGGCCACACGGTGATCCGTAGTTGTTTAACTTTCGACTTATACCAAAATAGAGGACGGAAATAAAGCGTCAATAATCATGGTATTTAAACTTACTGGGAGTGTAATGCTTTTATTAATGACTCGTAATTGAAGATAAAAGTGATGAAATTCACTTTTTAATCAAATGGTATCATATTAGTGGCATCCCCTGTGTCCCCGCAGCCGGCCGTAAAAATGCGCATTACCCGATTTCGTCATATCCGCAATGTAACACAAATATAATCGTTTTTGTCATTGTTTTAGTCTTCCGAAAGGACAAAAAAGATTAAAATTGATAAGTTCAACCATAAATTAATAATTACCGTTCAATGATTAACTATATTTAGCCAAAAAATACATCATCAGATAAAATTGGTTTCAATTTAAGTCAATTTCTTATCAAAATGAAATAAATTTTGGTCCGCATTCTTGGCAATCTGTTTCATTCAAACTGAACTATATTTCGTTTATAAAATCTGTCCTGTATAAACAAAACTAGCTATTTTTAGAAGGCATGCACGAAATCAACGGACATTTGAAGAACTGTAAAAACAGGGGTATCCCTTATTTTTGGCACACATTCCATAAAATCTTCTCTGTAAGACTATATATAAACATAATTTCATGAAATTAAAGTATGTCATGAATTTGTTCACACAATATTATCCGATTATTGGTTTTATGAGATTACCAAAGTGAGGCCAAACGTCTTAGGTGCGCAGCTTCACTGGACTGCACACGTATATATTTGTTCATTTTCTGTCAAACTTTAAATCTACTGTGAATATTCTACTCAGATTACTATTTGTTTAAAGCAATTTAGTATCTGCTGGGATACAAAATGTGTGGCTTGCATTTTTATGTTACACCTGACCATTTATGAAAATTAATTATTTCATGCGTCCATTAACGAAATCTTCCCGTAAAAAGGTGTGAAAATTATATGAAGTTAAAATAATTACTAGTAATAGAACTTGCCTTTTTTACTATTTTTATAAAGATTTGATTTGTTTGTCGATTGATTGATTTACCAAATATCTCCTTTTAAACATATTCTAAAGTAACTGGTTTGGACATTTCCCTCTAAAACAAAGGACTATCCATTTTAGATTCCAAATCAACACAATGAAATCAACATGAAAAACTCCCAATCAAACTTTAAAAGAGAGGTGAAAGATACCAAAGGAATATTCCAACTCATCAGTCGAAAACAAACTGACAATGCCATTTAAAAGACGAAAAACGACGAAAAGACAAACAACAATACATAAAAGACAACATAGAAAAGTAAAGACAAGGTAATACGAACCCCCACGTAATACCGGGGGTGATCCCAGGTGCTCCAGAAGGGTAGGCATATCCTATTCCACATGTGGCACCCGTCGTGTTGCTCATGTAAGTAAAAATTCGGTAGGTCAAATTCGAGGAAAAGAGTACGGAACTGTGGTTACAACAATGAAATATGTCCGTCGTCATCTGTAAAACAGTTAACCAACTCGTGATAGCGATCTTAAAATTTTCGAAGGGATGCTTTCAACTTCACCACTTGGAGCTTTTGGTTTAATAGCTTCCT